TAGAATTTCTAGTTGTCTTAGAGTATTTACTCATTTTTATACTAATTCAGTCTTTCTTAGCTTGGACCTCAAAGGATCCATACTGTGCGAACTCGTGGTGGCAACAAGAAGTATCGTGCTCTCCGCCTTGATACTGGCAACTTTTCATGGGGTTCAGAAGGTGTGTACTGAATATAAAACTTGTATATGACTTTGAAAGTTAATTTTGTTCAAAGGAACGGTGAAATCTTGAATAAATAGTTTGTCATCTTTTTAATAGCCAATTTGTCCAAACTGGAAAAATATTCCTGTTAATATATGCATGCTATATTCTTCTATCTATAGGCTATAGTATATTTGAATATATCAGCCATTGTTTGAATAAGAGAGCTTAGGTTTATGGTTATTGTTAGCTTGTATAAAAGTAATTGCAAATCTAGTTTTAGGATGCTGTAATTTCAAAATTTCTCTCCTTAGGTCAGACGCGCAAGACTCGTATTGTTGATGTAGTATACAATGCGAGCAGTAATGAACTTGTGCGAACCAAGACTCTTGTGAAGAATGCCATTGTTGTTGTTGATGCTGCACCCTTCAGACAGTGGTATGAAGCTCATTATGCGCTTCCGCTTGGACGCAAAAAGACTACAAAGCTGGTAATTAAGGACATTTTAATTTCCTCTAGTGGGAGATAGGGAACCCTCTCTTAATCATTAATGGTTTTTAAAATTTATGCAACTCAAGATTGTATGGCACTTTGAAGTCCACAAAAATTGCAAGGAAATGCCTAGTTTTTTCTTGAAGGCAGTGATGGGCTAGCTACCTGGAGGGTGTTTCAGAGTCACTGCCCATGTGGATGAGGGCCTATCAACTAGGCTGTTACTGCTGACCTCTCGCAGTCCAGCATACAAACCACAGCCCAACTTGTCAAGTACTGACTTGGCATCTATCCAGTCTCCTCTTGAAGATGGCTTGGGATCTGTCTGTAATTCCTCTTATGAGGCTGTTGAACAGAACACTTTTGGGCCCCTGGGACTTATTGCTTATATAGTGTACTCAAGTTACCCTTGCTTTTCATTGGGGTGTGTTACCCCATCTAAAAAGTCTTTTGCTTTTGTAGGGAGTGATTTGTGTGCAGCTTTAGGACCAGTTCCTTGAGGAATTTCCAAGTGTAAATTATAATGCATCTTTCTAACCTGTGTTCCAAGGAGTACAGGTCAAGGGACTACCAACATTTCCAGTAATTAAGGTGCTTGACTGAACTTGTGCATGCAGTGAAGATTCTGTACCTGCAGGGTTTGCCTGCCTTTAAAGTGGCTCTTAGTGTACTGCAGTATGTCAGCCTAGAGAGGCATTTGCTACTGGATGAATGAAAGTGAATACAGTTGAGAATCCCTCATCTGAAATACTTGGGACTGGAAGTGGTTTCCAATTTTGGATTTTGGAATATTTGTATATTTGTAAAACCTTATTGTATATTTATAAAACTCTTATATGGGTGTGAAGCATGGGTGATGAATGTTGCAACAAGGAGAAGGCTGGAGACAGTGGAGATGTCATGTCTGAGGGCAATGTGTGGTGTGAATATAATGCAGAGAATTCATAGTTTGGACATTAGGAGGAGGTGCGGGATTACCAGAACTATTATCCAGAGGGCTGACAAGGGGTTGTTGAGGTGGTTCGGACATGTAGAGAGAATGGAATGCAGCAGAATGACTTCGAGCATGTATAAATCTGTAGTGGAGGGAAGGAGGGGTAGGGGTCTGCCTAGGAAAGGTTGGAGGGAGGAGGGTAAAGGAGGTTTTGTGTGCAAGGGGCTTGGATTTCCAGCAAGCATGCGTGAATGTATTTGATAGGAAGGGTTTGGGATATTGGCAGTTTGGAGGGATATATTGTATTTTTATACGTATATACTTATAAACTGTTGTATTCTGGGCACCTCTGCAAAAACAGTGATTGTGAGTGAGGTGAGTGTTGAATGATGAAAGTATTTTCTCTTTTTGGGGATTTTCTTTCTTTTTGGGTCACCCTGCCTCGGTGGGAGACGGCCGACTTGTTGAAAAAAAAAAATGGAGACAAATGGTTTTTAGGTTTTTAGGTTTTGACGTGCTGTTGAAGTGTGAACAAAGTAACATTTATGAAGGGGTTCAGGGAAACCGGTAGGCCAGACTTGAGTCCTGGAGATGGGAGGTACAGTGTCTGCACTCTGAAGGAGGAGTGTTAATGTTGCAGTTTAATAATTATAGTGTAAAGCACCCCTCTGGCAAGACAGTGAAGTGAATGATGAAAGTTTTTCTTTTTCGGCTCGCCCTGCCTTGGTGGGAATCGGCCGGTGTATTAATAATAATAAAATTAGATAAGATGTTCATGGTGATCCATGCCCTTTTGTTAGCACAATAATAGACTGGTAGGATATTTACTCCTTTAAAACAGAGGATGCAGGCTTTATGCCTACCACAACACATTTACTTGTACATTTCTGTTTTGTCAAGTGATGAAAAACCATTTAAATAGATGGTGTTTGTAGTTTTCACTGCAGCTGTCTGTGATACATGATCATAGTTACTCTGATTCCAAATAAAATATTTTTCATGAGTGGACCTAACTCTGGGATTTATCATATTTTTGTCTTCTAATCTCTTCATAGACTGATGCTGAAGAGGCTGTTTTAAACAAGAAAAGGTCAAAGAAAACCCAAAAGAAGTACAAGGAACGCCAGCGTACTGCCAAAGTCGAAGCTGCACTTGAAGACCAGTTCATGACTGGCCGTATTCTGGGTAAGATAAAATGAAGTACAGTGAATAAACATTTCAATACAAATAGTTTTGTTTATTCTAAATATACTTTACAGGTATTAATGTATAAACTGTTGAACCAAAGCAGAATAAAAAAAATCTGGATTGAGCTACATCATGTTGAATTGAAAGTAGTTAATCATGAAGTGACTTCACAGTAAAAAAAAAAATTTTATGCAGAATTTTTTCATAAATCATCGCCCCCACATGCGAAGGACAGTTAGCTGCTAAATGGTTTTGGTATTGGCAGGATGTAGAGAATGGGTAATTGACCATGAAATTGTTCAGGCAGTATAGATGCACTGTTTCATATTCTTTCTAGTAACTACCAGCTATGTAAAAATATGATTAAATTGCAAACTGACTTAAATTTAAAATGGACCATGTAAAATAGGCTTCTTTTGAAAATTAGCTTTTGACCAGTTTTTAATTGTCCACAGCCTGATGATAAAACTATTTACTAGACCACTTATGCTTAGTTATTTTTACTGGCATGGTCGATGCAGTAATTGTCATAGTTACACTGATGTAATTATCACATAGGGATTTAAAGTTCTCCTCAAATACTGCTGATGTATGTTCATATTTACTTTCCAGCTTGCATCTCTTCACGCCCTGGCCAGTGTGGCCGCTGTGATGGCTACATTATAGAGGGAAAAGAACTGGAATTCTACCTTAGGAAGATAAAGAGCAAGAAGAATAAATAAAATAATGTAAGATGTTGATGACCTTTTATTTTGACCCATTGTCTTAATGTTTGGTACTTTATATTATTTTTTTTATTATTATCATCACACTGGCCGATTCCCACCAAGGCAGGGTGGCCCGAAAAAGAAAAACTTTCACCATCATTCACTCCATCACTGTCTTGCCAGAAGGGTGCTTTACACTACAGTTTTTAAACCAACATTTACACCCCTCCTTCAGAGTGCAGGCACTGTACTTCCCATCTCCAGGACTCAAGTCCGGCCTGCCGGTTTCCCTGAACCCCTTCATAAATGTTACTTTGCTCACACGTCAAGTGTTAAAAACCATTTGTCTCCATTCACTCCTATCAAACACGCTCATGCATGCATGCTGGAAGTCCAAGCCCCTCGCACACAAAACCTCCTTTACCCCCTCCCTCCAACCTTTCCTAGGCCGACCCCTACCACACCTTCCTTCCACTACAGGCTGATACACTCTTGAAGTCGGTTTCGCTCCATTCTCTCTACATGTCCGAACCACCTCAACAACCCTTCCTCAGTCCTCTGGACAACAGTTTTGGTAATCCCGCACCTCCTCCTAACTTCCAAACTACGAATTCTCTGCATTATATTCACACCACACATTGCCCTCAGACATGACATCTCCACTGCCTCCAGCCTTCTCCTCGCTGCAACATTCATCACCCATGCTTCACACCCATATAAGAGCGTTGGTAAAACTATACTCTCATACATTCCCCTCTTTGCCTCCAAGGACAAAGTTCGTTGTCTCCACAGACTCCTAAGTGCACCACTCACCTCCATACTCTCTCCCTCCAATCTGATATCCAATCTTTCATCACCTAATCTTTTTGTTATCCTCATAACCTTACTCTTTCCTGTATTCACTTTTAATTTTCTTCTTTTGCACACCCTACCAAATTCATCCACCAATCTCTGCAACTTCTCTTCAGAATCTCCCAAGAGCACAGTGTCATCAACAAAGAGCAACTGTGACAACTCCCACTTTGTATGATTCTTTATCTTTTAACTCCACGCCTCTTGTCAAGACCCTCGCATTTACTTCTCTTACAACCCCATCTATAAATATATTAAACAACCACGGTGACATCACACATCCTTGTCTAAGGCCTACTTTTACTGGGAAATAATTTCCCTCTTTCCTACATACTCTAACTTGAGCCTCACTATCCTCATAAAAACTCTTCACTGCTTTCAGTAACCTACCTCCTACACCATACACCTGCAACATCTGCCACATTGCCCCCCTATCCACCCTGTCATATGCCTTTTCCAAATCCATAAATGCCACAAAGACCTCTTTAGCCTTATCTAAATACTGTTCACTTATATGTTTCACTGTAAACACCTGGTCCACACACCCCCTACCTTTCCTAAAGCCTCCTTGTTCATCTGCTATCCTATTCTCCGTCTTACTCTTAATTCTTTCAATAATAACTCTACCATACACTTTACCAGGTATACTCAATAGACTTATCCCCCTATAATTTTTGCACTCTCTTTTGTCCCCTTTGCCTTTATACAAAGGAACTATGCATGCTCTCTGCCAATCCCTAGGTACCTTACCCTCTTCCATACATTTATTAAATAATTGCACCAACCACTCCAAAACTATATCCCCACCTGCTTTTAACATTTCTATCTTTATCCCATCAATCCCGGCTGCCTTACCCCCTTTCATTTTACCTACTGCCTCACGAACTTCCCCCACACTCACAACTGGCTCTTCCTCACTCCTACAAGATGTTATTCCTCCTTGCCCTATACACGAAATCACAGCTTCCCTATCTTCATCAACATTTAACAATTCCTCAAAATATTCCCTCCATCTTCCCAATATATTGTAAATAATGCTATTTTGAAGGTAGTTTCCTCCAGAGGGAGTGGGAGAATTTCCCTGACTGGTCTTATTTAGCAAATCCATGGTATGGATACTATACACCCCCCTCATGGGAAGTTCCTTGATGCCAGTGAGGGCCTCTTGATCCTAGGTACTATATTCCTCTGGATTGCACTTTAATGTCAGCGCTGTATAGCCCTTGTGGCTTAGCGCTTCTTTTTGATTATAATAATAATAATGCACTTTAATGTCTTTATTTAGGCACTAGACAGCATTTGAGTAGTGTCAAGATGCTGGTGAAAGGCCATGATAATTAGAAGCTTAACTCCCTCACAAGCATCTGTGATGCTTGTGAGGGGTCTACTAAGAACTTGACCTGACGTTCCATTCCTCGGACAGAATCTCGTTCTGCCCCAGCAGTTGAACCATGCACTTCTCCAAACCATACCCGCGGTCATAGTCTCAAAACTCCAGCCCATCGCTTTAGCCACTAGACCAGCTAGCCACAATAAGATTCATCCAACTAGGTATATTTCTACACCATAGAAAGGTTAGCACAGGCACCACTGTGACCACAAATGCAAGTTTTTACAGACGAATCTGCAGCTAGCGTGGCCGTGACGAACTCTAGCTCAAGTCCCTTCACTGCCGTCAACATGACTCAATAAATCGTACCCCCGGCCGGGGGTATGGTTTGTTTGCAATCGTGTCATTACGATTTCTTGAGTCTTGCACTTCTCAATAGCTGTACAGCCAACAACCATTAGTCATACTGTTAAGGGAAAGCTTGGGATTGGACCAGGCTGCAGAGGTAGGGACCCTTTGAAATGTTGCCATGTAATTCAAGGTATGGGAGCTGCCCTTCCCAAATTAAATGATTACCTAATTTTAGTGCTGCATTACACCACTCCCCTATGGGTATCCTGCTTTCATTATATAATGGGGAAATGTCAGTGTGTGGTGCTGACCCTCTCATGGAAGGTTCCTTGATGCTGGTGAGGGGCTCTTGATCTAGGGAATTGGATCTGCTCCAGTTCCCCAAATTACACCTCAAAAACTTCCACATCTCCCCTCAGATGCTGTATAATCCTACGGGTTTAGCGCTTCCCTTGATTATAATAATTTGCTTCTGACATACTAACAGTTTCTCATCTGCAGACTAGTGCCGACAGTAATATTAAACCTAGTGAACTGTGAGATGACCTAGTGTACTTAACTGGCAACCTTTCCGAGTTGCCAATATACAAGAAACCTGTTACGGGTGTTTCCTTGATGCTGGTGAGGCAAGTTCAAAGGTTTGGAAACGTGGAGGTGTGCAAACTAATTTTTGCAAGAGTTTGTGGATTAAAAATAATTTGCCATCTTTTCTACACCTAAATCTGCTGTATGACCCTTGTAGGTTTAGCGCTTCTTTTTTTTTATTATAATTCCTAAATTTGAAACTCCTTCCTTGAAGGTGGACTGGCACAAAAGTGGCTGCTGGAGTTTGTGAAAATAATGAATTTGTACAGAATAATATGAAACGAGCATCACATGACGGTAGATAAGGACAGGTGAAAGGGGAGATTTCCAAATTCCACCACCTATATATGTTTGTGCTGTAACCATATTTTCCCCTCAAGGAAGGTTCCTTGATGTTGGTGAGGGGCTCTTGATTTAGGGAATTGGATCTGTGTTCCAGTTCCCCGAATTAAGCCTGAATGCCTATCACATCCCCCCCAGGCGCTGTATAATCCTCCGGGTTTAGCGCTTCCCCCTTGATTATAATAATAATAATAATGTAACCATATTTTGTATTATAATTTGAGGGAAGAAATGTTGGGCATTAAAAAGTGATTGCAATTATAGAGAGTAAGGTCGAACAATAACATCCTTTGCGTTTAAATTCAATTATACTTTAGGTGAATGGGGGGGGGGTAATATAGTTCTTTCGTGATGCCTTAATTTATATGCTACCTCGGCTTATATTCTCCGCCTTTGAAGTTGTACCATAAAATAGTGACGTAAATATTAATTCAAAATATTAGTTTAATTTACATTTGAATTTTACAGCAAATACGTTGGGTATGATTTAATTTGTTTCCAAAGGGAAACAGGTTCTTACTGAACTAATGCGCAAAAATATCGGATATGAGTTACTGTTGGAGACGGTGTCATTTTCAAGGGACGCCGCCTTCAGTCGGGAATAACTCTTCATGGAAGTAACTTTCATATCAGATGTTAGTTCCGGCTCTTTAATTAAAGGGGTTTAAATTCCCTAAATGTGCTTCAACATTCGCATATTTTGTGAATAAATCCCCTCGCAGGAAGGCCTTGATGCTGGTGAGGGGCTCTTGATCTAAGGAATTTGATCTATGCTCCAATTCACCGAATGCTTTCCATCCTCCTTTCCACAGAATGCTGAACAAATTCTCAATCTTTTCCTCCCTGGTTACCTGGAGGTTATTCCAGGGATCAACGCCCCCGCGGCCCGGTCCATGACCAGGCCTCCCGGTGGATCAGGGCCTGATCAACCAGGCTGTTACTGCTGGCCGCACGCAGTCCAACGTACGAGCCACAGCCCGGCTGATCCGGCACTGACTTAAGGTATCTGTCAAGCTCTCTCTTGAAGGCAGCCAGGGGTTTATTGGTAATTCCCCTAATGCGTGATGGGAGGCTGTTGAACAGACTTGGGGCCCCGGACGCTTATGGTGTTTTCTCTTAGTGTACCAATGGCGCCCCTACTTTTAATTGGGGGTATTTTGCATCGCCTGCCCAGTCTTTTACTTTCGTAGGGAGTGATTTCTGTGTGCAGATTCGGGACCATTCCTTTCAGGATTTTTCCAAGTGTAGATTATGATATATCTCTCCTGCGTTCCAACGAGTACAAGTCAAGTGCTTCCAAGCGTTCCCGGTAGTTAAGGTGCTTGACAGAACTTATACATGCAGTAAAGGATCTCTGTACGCTCTCAAGATCTGCAATTTCACCTGCTTTGAATGGAGATGTTAATGTACAGCAGTATTCCAGCCTAGAGAGAACAAGTGATTTGAAAACGATCATCATTGGCTTGGCATCTCTCGTTTTGAACGTTCTCATTATCCATCCTATCATTTTCTTTGCACTTGTGATCGTGGCACTGTTGTGATCCTTGAAAGTGAGATCCTCAGACATTACTACTCCCAGGTCCCTTACATTATTTTTCCGCTCTATTGTATGGCCAGAGTTTGTAGTATACTCTTTTCTAGCTATTATCTCCTCCAGTTTTCCATAACGGAGTAGTTGGAATTTGTCCTCATTGAACATCACATTGTTTTCCGTTGCCCAATGGAAAACTTTGTTTATATCTTCTTGGAGGTTAAACGCGTCCTCGGCAGATGACAGCCTCATGCAGATCCTAGTATCATCCACAAAGGATGATACGGTGCTGTGGTGTATATCTCTGTCTGATGTGAGGATGAGAAATAAGATGGGGGGCGAGTACTGTGCCTTGTGGAACAGAGCTCTTCACTATGGCAGCCTCCGATTTAACTCTGTTGACCACTACTCTTTGTGTTCGATTTGTTAGGAAGTTGAAGATCCATCTCCCCACTTTCCCAGTTATTCCTTTAGCACGTATTTTGTGCGCTATTACGCCATGATCGCATTTGTCAAACGCTTTTGCAAAATCTGTGTATATTACATCTGCATTCTGTTTTTCTTCCAATGCATCCAAAACCATATCATAATGATCCAGTATTTGTGAGAGGCAGGAGCGACCTGCCCTGAACCCATGTTGCCCTGGATTGTGCAGATTTTGGGAATCCAGGTGATTTGTAATCCTGCTTCTTAGCACTCAAAGATTTTTATGATGTGGGACGTCAGAGCTATTGGTCTATAGTTCTTAGCTAATGCTTTGCTGCCACCTTTATGGAGTGGGGCTATATCCGTTGTTTTAAGTGACTGGAATTTCACCCATGTCCAAGCTGCTCCTCCATAGTGTACTTAGGGCACGTGAGAGGGTTTTTTTGCAGTTCTTAATGAATACAGAGTTCCATGAGTCTGGGCCCGGGGCTGAGTGCATGGGCATGTTGTCAATGGTTTTTTCGAAGTCTATCGGAGTTAGAGCAATGTCGGAAATCTGGCATACATTTATGGAGTTTTGAGGCTCATTCATGAAGAAATCATTTGGGTCGTCGATCCTCAGACTTAGTGGCTCACTAAACACAAAGTCGTACTGGGATTTCAGTATTTCACTCTCTCCAAGTACTGTAAATCTAAGACAGAATGCCCAGCCTGTGGTTTACCTGCAGTGCTCCACGACTCCTAGTGGGTTTAGGGCTTGGTTCTGATTATATCAATAATGACCCTTGTGGGTTTAGCGCTTAGTTTTGATTGCAATAATGTGGTGCAAGTGATTAGAGTTCATCCCGCAACCGACCTTTCTTACATATACTCTGGAGAGGCATATGCTACATATTCTCATTACCCAGTTTTCTTACTGGAACGGGAAATGCATTATCTAAAAGAAAGAGCCCTCTTATGCCATGACTGTCTCTCACTTCCGCTTTCAAGGAAAAGACTCACGACTCGCTTACTTTAAGGATGCTCGACGTCCTCAAACCTGTTTGTACCCTGTCCCAGTCACCCGTGCCCAGTCCTTATGCAGTTCTTGCCTCTGACGTTCTTACCAAATTTTCCATCCTTACTCCATCTACCCCATGAGTTCCTCTATTCACACAGGCTTTCCTGGCTAAACCTGCTGTATAGTCCTTGTGGCTTAGCGCTTCTTTTTTGATTAAAATAATAATAATCCTGGCTAAACCTTCATTTTTTACATCGACATTCCAAAGCCCCGAACACCTCTGAAGTCCAAAACTACAATAACTGCCAAAACCTACCAGCACATTGTTTCCACACGCGTCACTTTTTTACCTCTGAGTTGAGTCCCTTATTCTTTCCTGTGCCAGTGACAGTTGTGAACGTCGATGCTGTATAATCCTCCGGGTTTAGCGTTTCCCCTTTGATAATAATAATAATGTGAACGTCGATCCACCCTCAGTAAAAAAAAGTCAGTTGGCCCAATGGTTAACGCGTCGGTCTGTAGTTTTACGACTCATGAACCACGAGTTCAAGTCCCATCCATGGTATGGTTTGCAATAGTGTCATTACAATTTTATGAGTTACCCTCAGTACTCTCGCTACACCTATCCCTTCTCCAGTTTCTTCCTCCCAGGATACGTCTAATTTCTCGCAGTCCTCTCCTTTGGTACCGCTGTATGACCCCTGTAGGTTTAGCACTTCATTTCTTTATACTACTACTAATAATAATCTCTGGTAACTTCCAATGTCTTTTTTTCTGTTTTACCTACAAGTTCCCACCGCTTATCTGCTGTCAGTGATGGACACTGACCCTCCTTTCAAGCATTCACATTCTTGCTTCCACAATCTCTTACACCACACCATATTTTCGAGGTACCCGCAAATCGGTTCTTGTTAATTTATCACTACCACCACACCATAGACACAGCCTATCTGCTATTATTGTTGTCCTACTTACTGATTATTGCTTTCTTAGAGTGGAATATAAGAAGATACAGGGGTAATCGGGGAGAGCTTCAGAATCACTCTCCCAGTCTTCGCCTATATACTTGCTTACACGAATTAAAATATGCTTCACTTTTGGCCTCCCTGTCTCTGGCTGTTTTATTAGTCACTTGATCCTTTTCCCGATGAGACATTTAATGAAAGTGCGCTTCTTGTGCACGTTAATAACCCTCATTCTCAGCTATTCATTCCGCTATATTATACTGTATAGCCCTTGTGGCTTAGCGCTTCTTTTAGATTATAATAATAATATATTATACTGTAAAATATGTCTGGGCAAGGCTCCCGGACATTTGGTTGACGGACACTTCGCAGACGGACATTTCACCGAACGGATTTTTCACCTGGAGTTTACCTGGAGAGGGTTTCGGGGGTCAATGCCCCCGCGGCCCGGTCTGAGACCAGGTCTCATGGTGGATCAGGGTCTGATAAACTAGGCTGTTACTGCTGGCCACACGCAAGCTGACGTACGAACCACAGTCCGGTTGGTCAGGTACTGACTTTAGGTGCCTGTCCAGTACCTTCTTGAAGACAGCCAGGGGCCTATTGGTAATCCCCCTTATGTATGCTGGGAGGCAATTGAAAAGTCTTGGGCCCCTGACACTTCCTGTGTTATCTCTCAGTGTACTCGTGGCACCCCTGATTTTCATTGGGAAAATGTTGCATCTCTTGCCGAGTCTTTTGCTTTCATATGGAGTGATTTTCGTGTGCAGGTTTGGTACCAATCCCTCCAGGACTTTCCAGGTGTATATTATCATGCATCTCTCTCGCCTGCGTTCGAGGGAATACAGATCAAGGACCTTCAACCGTTCCCAGTAGTTTAGGTGCCTTATCGCACTTATGTGTGCCGTGAAAGTTCTTTGTACACTCTCCAGGTCTGCAATGTCGCCAGCCTTGAAGGGGGCCGTTAGTGTACAGCAGTATTCCAGCCTAGAGAGCACAAGCGATTTGAAGAGAATCATCATGGGCTTGGCGCCCCAAGTTTTGAAGGTTCTCATTATCCATCCTATCATTTTCCTAGCGGTTGAGGTAGATACATTGTTGTGGTCTTTGAAGGTGAAATCCTCTGACATTATCACTTCCAAGTCCTTCACATTACTTTTCCGCTCTATTGTATGGTTAGAATTTGTGGTATACCCTAACACATTTTTAATTTCTTCAAGTTTTCCATATCTGAATAGTTGAAATTTCACCTCGTAGGCGTGTTTCCTTACACCTGCTACCCTTATTCACCTATCAGTAAGTAGGCACCTGGGTGTTAGCTGAGTGTCATGGGTCGCATCTTAGGGAAATGCTCTGCATACGAGCCTTTATAAAGTACGCCAACACTGTCAACTAGGTCAGTAGCAGCTGTATCACGCACTTTGTGGAAATAGATTAATAATAATAATAAAATCCAAAGGCTCGTGCTGGGCTACAAGTACAATTGGGAGGTTAAGATTGGGTTATCCTGGGTTGCTAACCCTCCGGATAACCCAAATCAGTCAGTGAGTCGTCCAGGACTATATGTCTTATTTCCACTGGAGTTCTTTAATCTTATCTCTTAGCATGCTACCCACACCAGTCGACTAACACCCAGGTACCTACTTACTGCTAGGTGAACAGGTGCAGCAGGTGTAAGGAAATATGCCCATGGTTTCACCCATACTGGAGATCGAAACACGGACACTCAAGTGTGTGAGGCGAGTGCGTTATCAATTGAGCCACAGGCTACAAGAATGCATCGGCATCACCAGCTGATGCAGACATAACTAAATATAAACTGCCAGATGAGCAGTTGTCACCCTTGCGTCATTAAGGACGGAATACGATAGAAATTAATGAATTCAAAGACAACTCACTTACTGAAGTTCATGAAATGTCAGTTTTATCCCCTGGAATATTACCAAACATTCTGGAAAAAATACCCTGACTGCCTATTATAAATGACGCATAACCACATAAAATTGTTTAAATTCAACCATACCTTATAAAAATTATAAGGCAATATAAGTGATTCAAACCCATATATAAGCTACATCGTAATATTTTTTACTGAATTAACGTCTGAATAAGTAACTTAATATATATAAACATGTAAATACTAGTTCATTATAAATGAACTTAGTTAACTATCAAAACTTTGGTGCCCAGTTCCTTGACCCATTATGTGCCTCTAATCTTTAGTCTACCTCCCACAAGATGGACATGGGGGTGTATATTAAAGCCATTTAATTAAACTTATAATTAAATAATATAGAATTTGATTATACATAGTGTGGGGACTTAGGAGTTACCGCAAGCAGACACCTTAAGCTAAGATAGTAGTGCTTTAGTGTGGAAATAAGTCACTTTGACTTTTTTTTTATTATCCTAGGTAATTTACACTGTGTATGATAACTGTACTTATGTGTACCTGTGCCTAAATAAACTTACTAACAGATTACTTGATTGATATCAAACATTCTATACTGCGTCAGTCCAGGTGGCCCTATATACCCCCAACAACATATATATTTATATATTTCTGTTCTTGTTTACCTTATCTGAGTCTTTGCGTTAAGGTAAGTGCTGTGGTGGTGCATATTACATGGTGTCAAAAGTATGTCTCGATAAAGTATGATAGCCATGGCGACTAATTAAATAAACAAGGCTGAAGATGATCATGATAATCCTTACACAGGTTGTCTTTGTTCACCAATCAGTAAAATGGGTACCTGGGTGTTAGTCGACTGGTGTGGGTCACATCCTGGGACAAAACTGACCTAATTTGCTCGAAATGCTCAGCATAACAAGCGGCTTTCTATATAGTAGTATGTCGCTGATGTCAGCTAGGCCTGTATACCTTGTACATGTACTTGTTGTAAATAAAGATAATATTATTTGTATTATTATTATTATTATTATTATTATTATTATTTTTTTTTTTTTTATTATCACACTGGCCGATTCCCACCAAGGCAGGGTGGCCCGAAAAAGAAAAACTTTCACCATCATTCACTCCATCACTGTCTTGCCAGAAGGGTGCTTTACACTACAGTTTTTAAACTGCAACATTAACACCCCTCCTTCAGAGTGAAGGCACTGTACTTCCCATCTCCAGGACTCAAGTCCGGCCTGCCGGTTTCCCTGAATCCCTTCATAAATGTTACTTTGCTCACACTCCAACAGCACGTCAGGTATTAAAAACAATTTGTCTCCATTCACTCCTATCAAACACGCTCATGCATGCCTGCTGGAAGTCCAAGCCCCTCGCACACAAAACCTCCTTTACCCCCTCCCTCCAACCTTTCCTAGGCCGACCCCTACCCCGCCTTCCTTCCACTACAGACTGATACACTCTTGAAGTCATTCTGTTTCGCTCCATTCTCTCTACATGTCCGAACCACCTCAACAACCCTTCCTCAGCCCTCTGGACAACAGTTTTGGTAATCCCGCACCTCCTCCTAACTTCCAAATTATTATTATTAGTATTATTATTATTATTGTACTCGTGATTATAGTGAACTACATATGTTATCTTAAATAACATGCTAGGTCTAGATTTAAGTACAGTAGTATATATGCCTTATGATTAGTTTGCCTGAAATGTACCTGGAGTTACCTGCATAATTTGTGACTTATGTGTCCACTTTTTGTATCAAATTATTTATGTATATATATATATATTTCAACAAGTCGGCCGTCTCCCACCGAGGCAGGGTGACCCAAAAAAGAAAGAAAATCCCCAAAAAGAAAATACTTTCATCATCATTCAACACTTTCACCACACTCGCACATTATCACTGCTTTTGCAGAGGTGCTCAGAATACAATAGTTTAGAAGCATATACGAAATAAAGATACACACATATCCCTCCAAACTGCCAAAATATATATATATTATATATATATTTTATTATATATATATATATAATATATATATATTATATAATATATATATATATATATATATATTATACATATACATATACATTTACATACATACATACATACATACATACATACATACATACATACATACACAACACACACACACACACACACACAACACACACACATACACACACACATACACACACATACACACACATACACACACACATACCACACATACACACACACATACACACACACATACACACACACACACAAACAAACACACACCACACACAACACACACACACACACACACACACACACACACACACACACACACACACACACACAAAACACACACACACATGCAAAATCATGGAGAAGATTATCAGGAGAAGAGTGGTGGAACACCTAGAAAGCAACGATCTCATCAACAGCAGCCAACATGGTTTCAGGGACGGGAAATCATGTGTCACAAACCTACTGGAGTTCTATGACATGGTGACAGCAGTAAGACAAGAGAGAGAGGGGTGGGTGGATTGCATTTTCTTGGACTGCAAGAAGGCGTTTGACACAGTTCCACACAAGAGATTGGTGCAAAAACTGGAGGACCAAGCAGGGATAACAGGGAAGGCACTACAATGGATCAGGGAATACATGTACTTGTCAGGAAGACAGCAGTGAGTCATGGTACGTGGCGAGGTGTCAGAGTGGGCACCTGTGACCAGCGGGGTCCCACAGGGGTCAGTCCTAGGAAACCAAATGCTGTTTCTGGTATTTGTGAACGACATGATGGAAGGAATAGACTCTGAGGTGTCCCTGTTTGCAGATGACGTGAAGTTGATGAGAAGAATTCACTCGATCGAAGACCAGGCAGAACTACAAAGGCATCTGGACAGGCTGCAGACCTGGTCCAGCAATTGGCTCCTGGAGTTCAATCCCACCAAGTGCAAAGTCATGAAGATTGGGGAAGGGCAAAGAAGACCGCAGACGGAGTACAGTCTAGGGGGCCAGAGACTACAAACCTCACTCAAGGAAAAAGATCTTGGGGTGAGTATAACACCAGGCACATCTCCTGAAGCGCACATCAACCAAATAAACTGCTGCAGCATATGGGCGCCTAGCAAACCTCAGAACAGCATTCCGACATCTTAATAAGGAATCATTCAGGACCCTGTACACCGTGTACGTTAGGCCCTTATTGGAGTATGCGGCACCAGTTTGGAACCCACACCTAGCCAAGCATGTAAAGAAACTAGAGAAAGTGCAAAGGTTTGCAACAAGACTAGTCCCAGAGCTAAGAGGTATGTCCTACGAGGAGAGGTTAAGGGAAATCAACCTGAACGACACTGGAGGACAGGAGAGATAGGGGGACATGATAACGACATACAAAATACTGAGAGGAATTGACAAGGTGGACAAAGACAGGATGTTCCAGAGATTGGACACAGTAACAAGGGGACACAGTTGGAAGCTGAAGACACAGATGAATCACAGGGATGTTAGGAAGTATTCTTCAGCCACAGAGTAATCAGTAAGTGGAATAGTTTGGGAAGCGATGTAGTGGAGGCAGGTTCCATACATAGCTTTAAGCAGAGGTATGATAAAGCTCACGGCTCAGGGAGAGTGACCTAGTAGCGATCAGTGAAGAGGCGGGGCCAGGAGCTCGGACTCGACCCCCGCAACCTCAACTAGGTGAGTACACACACACACACACACACACACACACAACACACACACACACACACACACACACACACACACACACACACACACACACACACACACTGTACTAAAAAAAACCATACCACGGGCGGGATTGAACCCGCGGTCTTTGTATAGCTTGAGAAATAAAAAGAAAATTATTTTAAATTTAACTATTGACTCGTGTGTGCTAATATCAGATCTTAAGTTTGAATTGATCATATATATTATGGAAAATTTTCTAGGGTGCTTACCTGTATGTACCTCAACATTATATACATACCAGTAATCTCATTGGGAGACAATCATATTGTTTACCGTAGTCACCCCGTGTAGACATGTGAGAAAACTTAACCACCCCTGGTCGCACCAAGTGGTCCCCTCGACCTCACAATCTTATCCATATCTATCCGAGACCAGTATGGATTGGGTAGCACCCACAAGTACGGTGCTACTAATTAATTGTGGACTGTATAGATTATATTAGTTTAGCTGAATGAAGGGGAGGGGGGTAGGACACACCTGGATACATCCATCAAGGAAAACATTTATACATAATCCCACCACTTACCAGCTGTTCTCCGGTGGTCACTTGATGTAGCTGGATCACTCATAACCTATCTAATTATAACATACCACAACTGGCCAGCCTAAGGTTGCTATAACTAGAAGGTTACTTAACTTTTGGGTGTTTGATACCCCCTTATTTCTTCCATTCACTACCTCAGTTTCGATGTCCTGCTACACCGACACGGTTCTCATTCCGGCAGGACGAGGTATCCGTCGGATCGTCCCGGTTAGAAGTCGTGATTCCATAAATCTCCATTATCCCCGGTACGAGAGTCACACGTTCACCCGGAGCAAGGCGCTCTATTCCACATCTCGCTTTCTCTTAACTCAATGTTATTATCACTGATTACATTACTATTCACAAGACGATTTAACGTCTCATAACTATTATACAAACTAGAGGTCACTCCATTAAGATCTGAGACCGATGAGTGATGATTAAACCAAGGGTAATTTTCCCCAGGACACAGTCCATTGTGACGCGTCAGTCACCCGGTCCTACTCTTATCACGCTTTTACCACTATTACCATGGTCCCGTAAATCACGTTCCCTCACTCTCCACCAGGAACAGTTACGACACTTCTTATTATGAAATGAGGCCTATTTTAAAACCTTAGGCCGCCGTTAATGTCAATTTCGTGGTTCCATGCTTTCTCAGCTTCTTCACCACATTCAAAACAATCCGGGGCCTCTCCCCCCCGCACATCGCGAAAGCGCAAAGGGAACTCTTGGTTCTACTCTTATTTTCAAATACATTTTTGACCCATATGGGACACATTAAACACCTATTAGGCACATAGTTTCGGAAAATCAAAAAATTTCCACACTGCGGCCGGGCGGAGGCGTTGCTAGACGACTTACATAATGTGGAGTACAATTTCCCATCTTCACTGGCCACCCCATATTTATTTGAACCCTAAAAATGGACTAATTAGTGTTCCATCCTCTCAGGGGGCATAAGCCTATGCTCCTGGATAATTTATTGGGCATACTGGAATTATGAGACTTTAACAATAACAAGTCCTCTCTCAGTATCCCAAGTCAGCCCCAGCACATTACTGCAAAGGCACCAACTCCATGGCCATCCATATTTTTTGAACCCTCAAATGGACTAATTATGTTCCATTCTCTCAGGGGCATAAGCCTATGCTCCCTGGATTAATTTATTGGGCATACTGGAATTTTGGGGACTTTAACATAAAAAGTCTCTCAGTTTTCCCCAAAGTCAGCCCCAGCACAAAATGCATATAGGAAACCAACTCCATGGCCATCTATATTATTGAACCCTCAAATGGACTATTAGTGTTCCATTCTCTCAGGGGCATAAGCCTATGCTCCCGGGATTAATTTATTGGTATACTGGAATTTTGAGACTTTAACAATAACAAGTCTCTCAGTATCCCAATCAGCC